TATATATATATACAAATTATTCCTGTCTCCTATACCTTAAATTAAGACATTTTTCATTTACCTGGAAATACGCTCCTCCTCGAGGTTTCTTCTCGCTTTTGTCCGAATAATATGAAAAAGTGTGCTTGTTTCTGTCAAATACAAACCACCGTCTTGACCAGCCATTCAGTTTTGAGCCTTTTTTGTGAAGAAAACCTCTGCAAGTGCTGGAGTTTATGATGACATGGGGACATAATACTACTTGATGTCCTGCAAGATAATTGAACATTCAGATAAGAATGGAAATATATAACCTTCTGTCATAAATAATTTTCATTTTTTTTTTCTTACATAAAAAATATTGTTTTTAATAAAAAGTATCCTATGTTACTTCTAATACCTCATTTAGAGATACTACATTTTTTTTATATTCTCTATGACATTTTATTTCAAAACCAACTTCATCACACTAATATAATTCTGAAATGATTCGATATATTATATCTGGAATATTCTAATGATTCAATGCACTACGGTTTTTTTATACGGATCCTACTGAAAAAGCTAAACACTGTTTATATACTGAACCTCAATTATTAATTTGAAAAAAAATACTGATTTAAATAAATACCTGAAGAAGCTATACAAATCAGACCAAGTTACAATTATATTAATAAAAATATATTAATAAGGCATTCTGCCTTAAAATACTATTAGGCGATCAATTCATTCTTTTTATCACTGGGATCTTTTTTCAAATCAAACTGAATAGTCTGAATCATTATTATGTTTCAAATTCTGTGTATTCAAAATAAATAAGGAGAAAGTAAAAAATCAGAATACTTCAGAAGTAAAAATCACCTGTGTACATCTTTCATATTCAATTTTTTTATTGAAATTCGAATGAAATGTAGGAATTTAGGTGCAATGACTGCAATAGGTGAAGACTAAATTGTTCCTTAAAAATAATCAATTGATGAAAACTAATACTTCAAAAAAAGTGTTATTGAAGTGTTCTAATAAGAATAACCTCTTGTCATAGATTTATGTTGTTTGAGATTATACTTTACAGAACTCCTCGTAAAATATAAGTAGATTATCATACCGTGTTAGTAGCCACAATATGAAGACCTCCTTAATACTTAGCTTTAATTTTGACTTTTGAGGGTTACCTCATCTCTTAGAGAGATGACATATTAGGCACTTTTCCTTAACTCCTTCAAGACTTCTGAGATTGCTTGTAAAGAAGCTATTCCAACAGGAAAAGCGATTGATGCCTACTGGGTCTGAGGTTTCAGTCTTCTGACTGATATTGTAGCTTTTTAAAAAAAGGAACAATTTTTATCAGAACATAAGAGCTTTTATCAGAATATTAACAGTTTTATCGTTAATTACAAAATAGAAGTGATGTAAATGTTACTGATGTGGTGCACATAAAGAATAATAGATTGTGGGTTCAGAAGTTGATCTAACTTTTACCTGCTGATTCGATGTGCTGTCGCAGATCGAGATCTGATCCTCTGATGGGCAGATATCTGGTGAGAGGTCTTTGTTTATCGCTGACTGGTTTCCTCTTTCTATTCAACGTTCCAACTTCTAAACTCATCTCGCTAGTATCCGATAATGGTCTTGGAGATTCTGCATTTTCTGCTTCATTTCGTACCTGCTGAAACAAAGAAAAATATTGAAAAAAAAACACATTCAATTTCTTAACTTTCTATAAATCAAGAATCTTCACATAATACAAATATGAATATATATTCAGCGTGACTCACGGTCGATGGTAGGTTAGACGTTTCTGGAAAACGCAAAGCATGATTTTTCTGAAAATTTCACCTCTCACATTTCCTTACATGTTATATCGATCTAAAATATTTTCAGCATTGCAGCGTTGCCACTTCCATCAAAAAGTCCTAGCAACTTTAATTTTTTTAAATGGAATACCCCCTATATTAATACATTTTTGGAATTGCTCTGGTATTTTAATACTTTTTTGTTAATAATGTCCTACATTATAAATATTTAATTGAGTTTTTAAATGCTTTCTTTCATTATTTAGGTAAATGAAGAATGGGTGAAACAGCGAATAAAATCATCTCGGTAATTAGCCAAAAGAGTACTTAGTTGCGACAGTATTGTGCTTACAGTTGTACCTGTTTGGCTATTTAGTGATTTCTTTAACGAGGAATAAAAGTGTAAAAATGGTCAACATTCCTCAAGACAGAATTGAAATGATTGTAATTTATGGGGAAGTTGAAGTGCTGCATGTCTTTTTGAAGGGCATCCAAATTGTGATTTAAGTCACCGGTATGTGCTTGTCTAGATAAGAAAAGCATTGAAAATGCATAAATTTCATCCTTAAAAATGTAGATTCTTCATGAGCTCCCACGAGGATGATTATGATAGAAGAATAGAGTTTTATGAAATAATGCCTCGTCGAGTCAATACCATCCCTAATCTTCTGTTAAACGTCTGTTTCGGCGATGAGTGTTCATTTTTTCTGAATGGCATTGTTATTAGACAAAATTGTCGCTATTGGAGTGACGAAAAACTACGCTGGTATTCTTAGAAATGCCATTATTGGTACATTATTTCTGAAATAAAACTTGACTGGTAATCTGTAACTTGAAATACTTGAAGAAGCTATCGATCCTTTTATAACTCACGAGCTAGAAACTTAAATGGATGCAGAAGGTAATGAAATTTTGCAAAGGATCTGTCACATTTCCACCAAATAATTTTCTTTCCGTCCGACAGTGGTTAAACGAGAGATTTCCCAATAGATGGATTGGCAGTAGGGGAGCAGTTGAATGGCCTCCGAGACCACCGGATTTGGCATCCTTAGATTTCTTTTTCTGGGGTCATCTTGAATCCGTTATTCATAAAACACAATCTTATGATATTGAATAACTTAAAAGACTAATTACAGCAGCATGACAGTCAATTCCTAATGAAGTTTTCCGTAATGGTAGAGGGGGGTCCGAAAACAGAATGTATTACTGTTTAGAGCAAAATGGATGACATTTCGCACAATTTATAAGATAAGCGTTATTAGATTTTATTTTTGAAATATCTTTCTCGCAGATTAAATATCATTTTGTAAATGGACCTACCTACTCTTCTAACCACTTTGTTTTAAAGGAGTCAATTCTAATTCCATTTTCCAATTCCATTGATGTGTTTATTATTTAAACAGTTCTATGTTTTTCGTGTGTTCGCCGCAGAAAAGTGATGCTCTGTACACTTGATATATAATCTAAATTGACCAATTATTCACATATTTTCAGAATACGAACTTTTTCATTTGTTAAATTTTATGTATAAAAACAGGTAAAAAAATACTTTTTTAACAAAAAAGAATTCTTCCTGGAAAATATGTCCCTTTCAATTTACTTGCACTTGCTTTTATTTTTCCCTTCGGATCCGTACTTTCCCTTCTTCCTCAATATTCCGGAAAATATCCTAAAAATACCGAATTTCTCCAATAATGTGTCTTCTGAAGCATTCTAAATGAAAAATTCAGGAAAATGTATACCAGAAAGTTGTTAATCTCGATACGGTAAAGTGTAAATTTTCAAGCTATGTTAAGTTTGTAACAGTAGATTTTGATCAATTTCAATTTTAAACGATTCCATGTTTTAATTGTCGAAAAATAATATGATTTGGCAGTTCCTATAATAAGACATATTGACAAACATTACTATTAGTTTCTTATTCTATTATTGAAAGAGATTTCAAAATGTAAATAATCAATCGGCTTCTTTGAGCCGAGTATAGTTTCAAACTAGTTTCACCACCAGTAAAAAACTTCATTTATCTCTACATATAATAACAGAATCAATTCGTTTTGTATATTTACAAATATTCAAAAGTAGAATCGTCTTTTGTAGAGTCAATGACAAGCTATTTTTCCAAAGGCGATGATTCGCTTATTTCAACAAGTATATTTTTCAAATAGTTTGGCTCAACCTCAACACATTCTTCCTCGACAATTTATTGGGTTTTTCGAATCAGTTCAGATAATTAGGTGGTTGTAAAAATGAGATACTGTTGAAACTTAAATCTGGAATGATATTAATTGATTCACATTAAGTAGTTTTTATATCCAAAATATTTACATGAATATTTCAACTGGTTGCAGGGCGAAATTTTAGATCAAAATATCATACTACTCTATCAAGCCAGAAGTACAAATGAGTCAGACAAAAAATAACTGAAGTTCTATTTTAAGGAAAAATTGAAATTATATGCCAAAAGGTGTTACTCAACCAGTTACTCAACCTGAAAACGTGATGATATGCGGTGGTTTGCAATGAAGATAGATCATGAAGTCGATTTGATTTATATTCATTTTTCTGGTACTTTTGATCTAAAGACACTTCTCTTTGTGCAAAGCTCAAAGCTGTAGAAATCATAGATTTATGGATCGATAATTCAGAAGTTTTTTATCATCACGAACACACAGAACAAAAATTGGGACATTCATATCATGATTAATGCAATCAAGTAACACTTCATTGTGAGTTGACAAAACCGTGTTTCGCTATACAATAGCGTCATCAGGCATGTTCATACTCACGCAAGAATGAACACGTCTAACGGAGCTATTGTATAGCGAAACATAGCCTATTATTTATCAACTTATCAACCTGATATCATAAAAAATGGTTACTATATATTCGCCGACTCAGAACCCTTGTATAGAAGGTTTTGATCTCCACTCGGCAAGAAAGAATTTGGATGATTTTCGGATGTTTCTCACAAATCAACTATGCATAAAAAACCAGTCACTAGAGATTCTGCTAGAGAATACGGGCTTGGACACTAGGAGAAGGGGCAGAAAAATATTTATCTGAAATATTTACAGCCAATTTCGCTTCGAACCAACAAAAAAATTAATCTCCACAACTAGCTTCTCTAGCATAGATAATACCACCGCACTAAAGATTGAATAAAAAAACCAAAAAGGAATATCTATTCATCCAAAAAAGATATCGATCTCAGTCCAACAGCATTCTCTCGCTAAAATTATGTAGAAAACGGAAAAGCTGAAAGACTTGTGAATTTAATCCCTTGACTTTCAATTTCAATGTCAAACTTCCATTTCTTTTCATATACTATATTTTTTCTTAAATGTAGAGGACAAAAAATTGAATCATCGTATGTTCTTATATCCCTGGAGAGGTTGAAAAGTGATTTTGTACACATATAAAAATTGGATATATTATTTCTGGAGGTCAATTCAGTGAGATATACATAACGACCCAGCTTTCCAGACTGATTGACTGGGCCATTTCACGTAATACGGAATTTTTTAAACTTTGTCAGACTCGTTCCAGTAACGAAAGTGAAAAATAAAAGCCACATCTGAGTACATTGAACCGTTTAGATTGTAAAATTGTTTATAATAGACGATTTTTTTGCACCCCAACACTCTAATAATACGTTGAACGTGAGGTTGAATGTATAGAATCGAGTATCTGTAGTAACATATTATTTCAATTTCAGAAGTGTACAAAATCAATTTTGTTGAATCAATCATCAGTAAAGAAATAACTCAATCTTGTTGGTATACAAATTCAATTTTCGAACTAATGCTTTTTTTTTGTTCAATTGATCAAGACATAAAGAGGAATAATATATCTCAAACTCAGGTGTACTGATAGGTGAGTGAATATTTTCAAAATATTTCCAAGCCTTTACGCCCCATTAGACGCCCTATAAAACTTGGACGTTTTCTTCTTGAATTGATAATGAAGAACAACATATCACAATGTTGTAGGAGTAGAAATTTAGTTTTCAGTAATTTTTTTTTATTTTCACTCTACTTGCATTTCCTCAAACGGTCTGGAAAACGGAGGTAGAGTTCATTTGGCTCAATTAATGGGCAGGAATGAAATATGTCAATTTTGTGGTTTATAAAGTAAATTTTTCATGATACGAATTTTCAAAAATGTTACGAACGATATGAATAGAGGGCCTAGTACGGAAATAGTAGTTGATGTGTTGGATACAACAGTAACAAGAACCAGAGCACCAGCAGTAGACGAAACGTCAGGCATAAAAACCTGCGGACCACGGCCAGAAAACCCGAAAAATAGCCTTCATACACTAAACATTTTTACAAAACAAAACACGTGTTTCGCTATACAATAGCTTCTTCAGGCATATCTATACAGCGTACAATAGTGACAGAATTTCCACAATAAATTTTATTTAAGATGTGTTTAGCTATACTCTAGCAGTAACTGATGAAGCTATCATGTAGCAAAACGTGTTTTTCATGGATAGTGTTAATAATTTTCATCAAGTAACGTGTTAGAGTACACATAATTCAATGATTTTAATCTCAATAGGAATATACTTCACAAACAAATTTATATAAATCATATTCTATTCTTGTGAAATGGTCATTACATTCTCGACAAACGTCATTCTCGCGAATAATGACCATATTTATCTATCGTTGAATGATATACTATCATACATTACAAATAATCAAAGGAACAAATCTTACTGAGGGAGAAGCTTTTCGTTGCCTTCTCTTAGTCAACGAAGACTGCTTGTGTCCGGACCTTATGTAACTTATCCACAAAGACATTTCGAATTACGAGAATACCTGATTGCGCACGCGAAACCAAAAAAGAAACAACGGAAGAACGAGCC